AGGGTCGTTTGACCGCCAAAGGGGTCGCGACCCACAGGTTGAGAACCGCTGCTCTAACCCTCACCTGCTGTGGTTTTCCGTATAGCGCTCATCAATAGGGTGGCTTCTCTGTCAGCCAGGTCCTGTTGCCATTTCTCAGTCCTCCTCTAGCTTCTGATGAGGGGATCGATCAAGATCATATGTAACAAAGAAGCAATAGGCGCGGTACCAGCCTGTGCAGTGCAGTCAGGGACCCCCCCGCCCCCCAGTCAGATCGTAATTGACGGGGTAAATCGTGCTGTAGAGAGAATATTAGGAAGTTTTAGAGAGTTGGTGTATTTGAAACGGCACCTTTCTCTGGAATGGGTTAATCTCGTTTGTGCTGCGAGCCTCACCGCCTTTTCTTCCCCTTCATTTTAGGAAGAAAAAAGAAAGCACCCCCGAGAATGCTGGGCCGTCCCCCTGGCTGCGTACACGGTGCTAATGAGGTGCCTTCGGGAAGGGGTAAGGCCCTTTGTTGTCCTCCCTGCGCCCTGATTGTAATAACCCTCCCGGCAGCTGCTGCGCGTGGGATTGTAGCCTGCAGCGGTGCGGCAGCTTGTCAGGCAGGGTTTGCTCCTGAATTTCAATCCTGCCACCAGCCACCCTCGGCAGGTGCCCTCCCGCGGAGCAGGCGGGAAGCGAACCAGCTTTTTCCTTCGTTTTCAAAAGGTGGTAGCAAATAGGAGCCACATAAGTAGTTTGTAATAACGTATTCTTACTCCTTCCCGCCTTTGAAAGCCACCGAGACACCAGTTTGGGAAGCGAGGTGAGGCGCGTGCAGAGAATGTTCTGCGAGCCTCAGGAGCCCTGTGATTGGCTTGTCAGGCTGCTGTTTTGCGGTTTGGAAACCGGGCGCCTTCCACGAGTGTCCGGTGTCCGCTGGCTTTAATAGTAGGTGGTGGTGATCATGTGAGGTGACTTCTCCGTTTACTCAGATCCCTTCCCACGCCGCCGTTCGTGGCTGTGCACCAGCCGCTCGCCAGCCTGCCGACTCGTACAGCAGTGCCCACGTGGAACGTGAAGGGTTTAGTTACTGACCTCAGAGGTTGGCATTTTCTGTTGGCTCTAAACCATTTGACATTGTTTCACCCAAGGCAAAGCCATGGGCTAAGAACATTCCTTAAGGAATGAAGAAAATATGTCATAATAAACATCTTCCTTTTGAGTTCACTCCCCCCTCCCCCCTCTCCCCACCCTTGTGACCCCAAGTGCAGTCTGAACACTTTCCAGCTTGTAGGGTTGATACGTAGTCAGTTGTCCTGATGGGATGTGCATGACGCTGGGAAATTATATTGTATCAGTAACAGGGCAGTTAAGTCATGTTTATCTGTAGTCAGAGGGTACCTTTAGGTGTCATTCACGGCCTCCAGCGAGGCGCACTTGGGGGTTCACAGATCAAGAAGGTGACATTTCCATGCACACTCAGGTCCCATCTGTCGTGGAGAGAAGATAAAGATATCAAGTGGAATATGGCAAGTAAATAAATGCAGAAGAACACAATATAGGAACGCAAAGGAGAAAGGAGTCCTCCAGGAACTCTTTTCACAGTGTAAAAGCAATTTGAGACACTTGGTGTCTTTAGTTTTTAAAACTCAGATGAATGCCTAATCGAAGATGATGCATTCTAGTTCACGAGGTTGTATCCTTTGTTAAATATCTTCTCTCCCCTCCCTCGCATATTTTTCACTGTATATATAATAGGAAGGATAATGTTTGATATCCAAGTGTATTGTTTTAAAATTATTGTTAATAACTGTAAAATAATGATATTGTTTTGTATTTTAGAACATACACAATTTTTTTTGTCTTGGTAGGTTTGGCAAGTCTTGTGTATTTTTCATAAAGAGGGGAACTTCCAGAACTCTGTCACTTATGAAAATTTTATGTCATATATTTGAAGAGCAGCAACATTTGTGCTTTGGTGGCATATTCACTAACATTGTTCCTGTGGCACGGATAAATTAGGGAGTGATCATACCCCCTACAAAAGATTCCTATCCTTACAAAAATATTCAACTGTAACAGTTCTTTTGTGTATATTTCTAATGTATTGAGGACATAGTTGAAGGTAAATAATTTCAAAGCCTTTTATCTTCAACATTTACAAAATTTTTCCATGTGGAGAGCTTCCTGAATCTAGGTTCCTTTCTTGCGAACTGTATCTCATACACAGAAGAGTCTATGAAATGTGAGTGTGCAGGTAAGAGCACACACTCTCAGACACGCGTGCTCTTAAAAGCGAAAAAGGACCCCGGCTGAGAGGGTTCACCCGTCCCTCTTGGATCCCAGCTGGTTCTTCCCTTCACGGAGTAGCCGCTATTCCGACTTTGGTGATAAACATTTCCTAAATTTTTTTAAAATTGTGGCAGCTCCCTGACAGGGAGGATGGGCTGCATTTCCAGGTGAGCTCCCAGGTCCCACATGCAATTCCCAGCCAGGGTAGAATGTGCCTCCTTTAATCAGAACAACCCAATCATAGTTAACAGAGCATGATTAATATTTCTTATAATTCTAGCTGATCCCCAATATTCTATTTCTTCCCCTATCACCTGTAGTACATTAGATCTGCTTAACACCATTAAAACATAGTACAACTATTCATTAAAAGCCTAATTATCGTAGGCTTATTTCATAGGATCATTTCTAATCATCGTAGCTTTTATCCTCATGATATGGTGAAGCAGGTCTTTGATTTAAATGACAGATATTAGTTTAGTTCCGTTAGCCCTTCTGAAGAGTTAATTAAGCAGAAAATAGCGCCAATCCTGGTGCTTGTGTGATGTCCGTCAGGGGATCCCAGGGGGACCGGGATGGCAGGAGGGAGTTGAATTGCCTGACAGTCTCCCTGAGTTGTAGAACACTGGGTGACACGTGGCCCCTTTCCAACCTGGGTGCTCAAGTAGGTGTGGTCTTCTGGTACTAGGAGTGAGTCCTCTAGGAATTGACTGACAATTATGCTCTAAAGCACGTGGTAAGGTATTTGAGAGGTCCCACATAATAGCTCCTCTCCCCCCACATTCGGGGGAAAAGTTTCAGAACCTAATGAGAAATGAGACAGAGCCAGGCATATGGGACAAAAATGGCATAAATATATAATGGAACTAGGGCATATCCTATATAATAAAAGCCTAATATGCAAATCAATTTAATGTCAGAATGGCTGGTCAGTGGGGGGCGGGGCTGGTGAATGGGTGACACCAGGCCAGTCAAGGCAGGTGCCAGCGGGCAGGGAAAGGGGATGGCGATCAGGAGGGGAGGGGGAGATGGGGGTGATGGTGACTGGCACAATGAGAGCTAGGGTGGAAGACATAGCTACATCTATGGGCAAATAGGTTTCCTTATACTGAACTCCCATATTTAGGGAATCATAGTAGCTGCCCCCCCCCCCCAAACAAAAAAACAGACCC